AAAGATCAACTCTTACCACATGTGATCGCGACCGTGGCAAAATCGTACCAGAGCACAGCATGTCAATGATACCTTGGCGAGGGTTAATTGATCACATGCCCGCGCCTACATTTCCAAATGTTTGCGTTCATAAATGATACACTTTGTCTTGATAGATCGTTTACGACCAAAAAAAAAAAAAAAATCGAGGTGTTCATGACTGTCTGCCTCATACATCGCCCGAGCCTGGTCTGTTTTGGCTTAGGCCCGCTTTGGCCACGGTGTCGTGCCCGCTGGTCCCAAACACTACTTCTGCTGCCGCCCAGCAGGGGGCACTCCGCTGTAGTGGAAGATACTGTCTATGCATAATCATGCAACAAGCACACAGATACTCCTATTCAGCTTTCGCCGATAGCTGATGAACAACCCCCTTTGCCACCTGACGAACGGACCAAGAAGGTCGTTAAAGAAATCTGAACTCCACGACAATCCGAAATCCAAAAAAACCACACCGTATCATGACGCATATCTGCCCATATCCATAATAAAAGGTTACCTGTTTTCCGGCGCCTTCGTCGTCTTCAACACCGCTATCTCCGTTCTCCGTCTTCATCTTCTTGGCCTTCTTTCCTTCCTTTTTGCTCAGCGGCCTCTTCTTGGGCGCTGGCTCCTCCTCGCTTTCGTCATCGTCGTCGGACTCAGACATGGCGTGTTTCGCAGCCTTGGCCACGACAGGCGCGGCCTTCTTTGGTGGCTCGTCCTCCTCGCTGTCGGACTCCTCCGATGAGCTGTCCTGCTTCGCCTGTGGTTTGACGGGGGTTGTCGCCTTCTTCTTTGGAGGAGGCTCTTCGTCCTCACTGTCGTCTTCCGAGGACGATTCACGCTTCCTCGCAGCAGCTTTAGTGGATGCCTTTTTAGCGGGAGTCACAACTTTGGGCGGCTCGTCCTCGCTGCTCGAGTCGTCATCGGACGAAGATTCCTGCTTCTTGGCGACCTGTTTCGCTGGTGTCAGCTTGGCCGCTGCCGGTGCTGTTTTCTTAGGGGGTTCGTCCTCCTCACTGCTGGAATCATCGTCCGAAGATGCCTGCTTTTTGGCGACCGCTTTTGCCGGGGTCACCTTGGCAGGAGTTGGCGCCTTCTTCTTTGGTGGGTCATCTTCTTCGCTGCTAGAATCCTCGTCGGAAGATTCCTGCCGTTTTGCGACTGCTTTACCTGGTGTGACCTTGGCCGGAGTCGGTAACTTTTTCTTCGGGGGCTCGTCTTCTTCACTGCTAGAATCATCTTCTGACGATTCCTGCTTCTTTGATGCCGGTTTCGCTGGTGTCACCTTTGCCGGAGTAGGAGCCACCTTCTTTGGTGGCTCATCCTCTTCACTGCTCGAATCCTCAGACGATGAATCCTTCTTTTTCATGACAGGTTTTGCTGGCGTGACTTTGGCAACGGCCTTCTTAGGGGGCGCGACTTCCTCTTCGCTGCTATCTTCCTCTGATGAGCTCTCCTGCTTCTTCGCAACTGGCACTGCAGTCTTCTTTACAGCATTCGCAACCACTTTCTTAGGAGGCGGCGCTTCTTCTTCACTGCTGTCATCTTCGGACGACGTCGGCTCCTTCACAACTGGTTTCTTAGCTGGCGTGGTTTTAGCAGAAGCTGGCTGGGCTTTTTTAGGGAGCTCGTCTTCTTCACTGCTTGAGTCCTCTTCGGATGATTCATCCTGCTTTACCACCGCCTTAGCCTTGGCTTTAGTTGGCGGGGTGGGCTTAATCGGAGGTTCGTCCTCGCTATCAGAGTCTTCGTCCGAGGAGGTGTCTTGCTTCTTTGCAACAGGCTTGGCCGCCGGGGGTTTCGCCGGAAGGGCGGCTTTCTTCGGCGGTTCGTCTTCATCACTGCTGGAATCATCTGAAGATTCTGCCTGTTTTCCAACTGACTTCACTGGTGTTGCCTTTGCGTGGGATGCTGAAATCTTTGCGGGTGTGGCGGTCAACTTCTTTGGAGGCTCGTCCTCTTCACTGGAATCTTCTTCTGATGAGGATTCCTGTTTCTTTGACAGGAGTTTTTGCCACTGCAGGTTTCGGCATTGGCACATTCTTTTTAGGAGGCTCTTCTTCGCTACTGTCTTCCTCAGATGAAGATTCTTGCTTTTTCGTCACCGGTTTTACAGGCAGTCTTGACTGTCTTTGGAACAGCAACTTCATCATCACTATCTGAGTCTTCTTCGGAGCTTGACTCCTGTTTATTCTTTCCAGACTTTGGGGTCGCTCCATTGACAAGTTTTCCCTTCTTGGGCGTTTTGGTGATGCTCACGTTGGGAGACTTTCTGCAAAAAAAGATTGGTTTAGATTGAATCCCAAACTTGCCTAGTGTTTGGAAAGCACTGAGGTGAGTCACCGGAAATGCTACCCCTAACAATAAATGTAGAACTGTCCAGACTGCTGTAGCCTAGAATGGTGTTTGACATACATCTCACTCATGGACATTTCAAGATGCCCATTCCAGACAAATGTATGCACTAGGCTGTAGAAATACCAGCATATATTGGCATCATTCAACAGATTACTGACCAATCAATGTCTACATAAAAATTCATGTTGCACTAAATCATTTCAGACAGAACATCAAACCGCAGACAATGAAATTTGTGTGCTGAGTGCTGAAACCAAGGCAGCTCAGCCCCTTGGAAAATGAAGTACCATCCCAATGGTTGCACAGCCACTATTTGTTTATCCACATAGAGCCAGTGTGGATGTGCTGCTCCAACACACAGTAGTTTGATGTTCAACAGAATTGGCTTCAAAGAAGAGGGTTGCTTATTTTGCCTGTTGAGCCTTCTGAACAAGCACTTTGCACCACAATAACATAACATGGCATGCCTTGACAAACTCCTATACAATGAAATAGTTGCATAAAAATGACAAAAGGCATGATCAACAAGGCAACAAGCATTGCCCCATGTACAAAAAGCTGTCATAACTGTCAGCAACAATGAAAACTTACGATTTAAAGAACTTCACCACTGAGTCCAATGTTGGTGCTGACTCATCAAGAGGAAGCTGAAAAGAGATCAAAAGGTTAGTCATGAAACAACACATCATATATTCAGAAGACAACCTAGTTTGGTTGATTATTGATGCATGGAACATCTGCTATGATCCTGACCTCCTGCCTTTGTCTAGTGATGCTAATGACCAGAGTTGGTCAGGTAACACAGCTGCTTACACTGGAGTGTTATCTATTGTTCAATCATTTATTTTAAAGGTGTCATTTGTGGTTGGTTAGTAAAGGTCACATTGCAGGAATTCCAGTTCAAATGTCTGATTTCAATTCAGCCCATAACTAATGTCAGCAAACATAGCTACCAAGAGATGAGCATTCAGTTATATCTAGTGATATTCATGCCTTAATGAATATGTGCAAGGCCAAATGTTCAAGGATCAATATCATAAATTATTATTTGGAAGACAATACCCATGCATTCAATGCCACCAGTCACCAAATCATCCACAAAAGAAACTTGGGTGTTGGATGAGAAATGGTACATCATCCCAATACTCCATACCATACAAAATAATAGCAATAGTTCAAGCTTGCCATACTGAAAAGTACAAGCTGTGGCAAATAAACAGCTAAACTATGCTATATGAACCGAGCAATTACGATGGCATTCACAAATGTGTGCACAACTAAAATGAACCATTCACTTTTACTGAAACTACTGAATCCATTCACACTACTGCACATTCTGGGAATAAGAAATCATGCTATTATTAGTAAGCATTCTCATATGCAAGCCTTACTTGTTTATGATAGAAATAAAGAAGAAATAGCGTCCCACACCTTCACCCGGAGTGGAACCCTTCAAGTTGGATGACTGGGGTCACGACAACATGGCCATCGCATGTATATGAGTTGACTGACTCAAGCTACAAGAGGATCATACATACCGATTTCCGCTTCGCCTTGTACATCTTAGCCAGGCTCGTGTCTACATCATTAAGATGTGCCAAAACGAGGGACGAGACCTCGCTTCCCAGGTCCGCCATGTTTGGACGCACGTTGTAAAAGACCCTCCTGCGTCTTACCACGTGTGGCGCGCTTGCGCGTCGAAATTGAAATCTGAAGGAATAAAGTCTACCTCATCTGGAAGCACGCAGCCACCTATGACCATTAGTTTACAAAATGTTATTTAAGTGATCTTTGAAAGTGTGGTGAGTTATTCAAAGACTATTAGATTATGTGTAGCACCGTTGTAAAAATTGTAGACATGTGATATCTGATATCAAGGTAAAAAGTGGTGGGCAAATGAGTTGGCTGCGAAAGGGACAAGGCCCTCAAATATGAGCGGTAGGGTAAGGCGTACTTTACTGGTCATATTACTCCATTTGCGAATCCTGACTTGAGCACCGCCCCCCCCCCCCCCCCCCCTCTAATGCTCCTCCAATGAGTCCAGTGGCACAGGCAGGGCGCAGAGGTGTTCGTGCCCCTCCTTAGGGTCAGAGAAGCCGGAAGGATGTTCGGGACCCCATTAGGGGCCGACGATTCAAAGCCCGATTTGTGGGCCCGATGGGCTGGCTGGAGGTTCCAGTTAGTGTCCAAGCCTTGCGGGTCGGCCCTGCAAATACCAGTGACAGGGCCTTTGCACCATTGGGAGTCCCACAAGTCGATGAGGACCTCTATGTCAGCCAGGCACTACCAGTGCCAAACAGTCGGTCCCGTGTCGGTCCGCGATTCACATTGGTTGAGATGTCCACATCAATGAGAGGACTCTTTGTCGGTATAGGCCCGCAGTGCCTAAGAGGGAATCCTGTGTTGACAAGGGATTCCTAGTCGGCCAGGGCGGTGTTCAAGGGGGCCCGAACACGGTCCAGCAGCACAGCTTGGGAGCGACGATGAAGGGCCCGATTGGAAGGCTGGAGACTTATCTCAGTCACATTAACGATTCCAGCCTGTAGAGCCGTCATCTCATATGCCATGTTACGTGCGGGGTTCAGTTGAGATTCTTGTTTTTTCATTAGTTTTTGTGTATTTCTTTGTTAAATTCCTTGGCGGCATCCCCATACTGGCCGTCTGCGGAACTGGGAGAAGAGCCTCCTCATTTCTCCACATTATCATCATAATGAACCTTGTGGATTCATTACCTACATAAAACGGCAATCGCACGATTTCTAACGCCCAGCTGCATAACAGCAACAATTACCGTGACTGACTCAACAATTGGGATCACGTTCCTGAGGACCTTTTGCGTTTGGTGGGGCACTCTGACAATGACAAAGAAATATTGTACCTTGTGATGAGTGGTCATGCTGAAATAATGGAAGGGTCTTGTGCCGGTCGGGGCCCCCGTACCGAATGGTGGGCCCTCCAACCCAATTCCAGAATTGGCCAGTTAAGCCCAAGTGGAGTCTATACGCCAATCATTAAACCACATGCGGCGATCAGAGATGTTGCGCCAGTGAGGGTTCCTGCATCGATTCAGCACCAATTGCGCAGGTCGAAAGACCTTCAGCGTCAGGGAGGGACCAATGTGTTATGATATATCTCTTAAAGGGCCTCCGGACCGACCAGGGGATCCCGCCCCGTGTCGCCAAAATGAGTTCTAAAACGACCAAGGTCATCCCATGTTTGCCTGAGAACTTCCATTCTTTTGCAGGAACGATTAGTGAAACAAAGAACATCAAAAGGTTTGAGCCTGCGCTCCCGAAATCTCGGAAGCAAGGACAACTATGGTGTGGGATGCAGCTTCCGTGAAACCAAACGGTGTTGGCAACTGCAAGTAACACCACACGCCCCGCGCTAGAACGACCGTCTGAAATAATGGTTCCGAATATCTACACAGATAAGACAGTAGTAATAGCCTGATTTCTCGGAAAATCCAGGAGAATGGAGAAATAGGCTGGTTGATATTTTGACAACATGCCTCTATCGAACCAACAGGGAAGTTAGTTCAAAGTTGTCTGTCGATGATTCTACTCGATTTTCAGGCTGTTTTTATTTTGGAAACAGCAAATCACAGTTTTCCAGAACACCAACATTCCGGAGGTTAAGCCAATAGCGGTTGCCAGCCATTTCATCAGGTATGGGTGGTACCACGATGGATTATGGATTGGATTACCATGATACAGTGCATATCTAAGAATTAGAATAAACGAAAATACGTGTACATGGAAACGAATTCAAGCAAACAGGCATCACGCATCACGCTTCATTCAAACATGCAAGCGAGTTGAAGTAAACAGGCATCAAACATCGCGCATCAATTATATATGCAAGCGATTTCAATTGAACAGGAATCGCGCGTCACGCGTCAGGCATCACTTACACATGTAAACGAATTTAACCTAGCACACATCACACATAAGGACAAATATCACGTTCGCATAATACAAATAGAATTAGAAAATAGAAAATAGAAATAAATAGATTTACCTATTTTTCTGTCAAGGTGGTCCTGTGTCTTTCAGCTCTAAAAAGGGCACAGCGTCCATATTCCTCCTCCATCGATTTCAGCCTGAGTGTGTATTTCCCAAAAATGGTTACTAAAACGGGTATTTCCTGTTTGTTTTTAGCGTCTCGCAGGTGTTCATTATATCTCAACGAATGGGGCGTATTGACGGCCGACATAGAATTTGTCCCGCCCATGTTTTTCACACCTTTTACGCTTGATTTCTTAAACCACGTGCTTTGCGCGCAAACCTCCTGGAACACAGAACTGCATAAATTACATCTATTGCCACCCGGGCACTTAAGCTTCGAGGTGAAAGATTTCACCAGAGACTGTTTTAGGTTATTGTCGTTCTTCCAAGCTATGCGTGCGCGCAGTTTTGATTTCTTTACGATGCGTTTGATTTTCCGACGCAAATGCTCATCTGTGTAAGGTAGCGTTAAGAATCCGTGGTCCGATGGGACATGTTCCCGCCTCCAACCACACATCCCCCCCCCCCCCACGCGCTCTAGATTTTTTTACTTCTTCCAACATTCTACCTAAAAGTCGCGGAGAATATCCATTGCCCAACATTGCCCAAATATGGAAAATATGGGTGAACATATGTTGTTTAGAGCCCTATGACACATGTTTCGAATCATGTTGTGCTTAGTGGAAGTAGGATGCGCAGACTCGCAGTGCAAAATTATACCAGAATTGCCGGCCTTGATAAAGAGCTTCGTTTCTAACGTTGTGCGGTTGTTTCTGCTCTCCACTGTCACTAGTGTATCCAGATGTGGGACCCC